CATCTCAGTGGCACAGACAAGGCAAGGTCAGTGTTAAGGTCAGTGGTTGCAGAATAGGAAGTGGTTGGCAACTGAGAGAATATATGGTGGCAGCCAGTTAGAGAAGAAAGAATGCGAAAAGGAAACAGGAGTGAAAAGGCTGGTTAAATAAACGGAGAGTGAGCCAGAAGGACAGAGAGCAACACTTAGCCAGAGAGGCTTGGTTACCATTCTCAGGCTCTGTGAGGTTTCTAAAAATGTTTTAGGCACACATAAACAAAGTACAAGTGGATAAACATGGGTGAAGTCCATCAGTCCAGTCATCCACAGGCTTCCCGTGTTGTCCGTTAGCAAAGGAAAATGCCGTTAAAAATATCTCATACAGATTTAGAAATATTAACTTTGATTTAAAACAGGTTCCAGCTGAGTAAAGCATAAGTTAACAGCTTCACAATGGGTTTCTGAGAAATCAGGGATGGTCCATCTCTTCTCCAAAAGGCCAACACACACACCTCTCTTCCTACTGCTGACTGTACAGGTAATAGGATTGCTCCTTGTGGTGCTTTTATGCCATTTGTCATCATCTGTAAGACACAGCTCTCTCTCTACAAACAGCAGCCAGAACATTCCAGGGAGCAGCAGGGGCATGAGCTTATCTCCCAGCCCAGTGGAGCAGGTAAATGACGTCGTCATCATCCTCTTGTGTTGGAATCTGATCAGCCTAAAAAGAGACCCAGTTGCAAAAGGGTGGGCCATTAGGGTCAGAAAAATGCAAATTGTCTTTCGTGGAGCTCACTTTTAATGGAGGTGATTCTGGGGGGAAAACGCACTGGAGGATCTTCTGTTCACACACAGTTAGAACAGTTTTTGTAACCTCCAAGGGAATAATCTGTGGACTTTTGAGGTTGTGCAGGTGCTAAGCGGGTATTTTTTGAGAATTTGCCAGCCAAATTAGCATTAGGGAAGCCTTATATGCATAAAGACTTCAAAGTAAATATTACAGGTTCTTTTTTTTTATATGCAATGTCTCTGAATATCGCTGTGGCCCATCTACCTGGAATGCTAGTGCGTAGCCTCTGGCACAGCTTAATTAACTCATCTGTGTGGTTACAGAAGGCATAATGGGGGAGAGAAATCACTCATCACCAGAACATCCTTCCTACTGATCTGACTTCTAACACTTTCTCTGTGTGCTAACAAAGAGACACAAGCCCGGTAATCCTCACAAATCGTGATCAGTTGACAGGGTTTACACACAAACCACCTTTGAAGAGACATACAAATCAATGTGGAGAACAGAAATTTTACTCATTAAATCAATCAGTGGACCACTGGTTAATCCTAGCCATCTGAAATGGACCTTCAGAAGGTGCCAAATTATTCCCGGCAAGATGAAAGAGGTAGTTTAGAGTTTGGTGGGTGGCTAATTCCTGAAATAGGACTGTCAATTATGCATGTTTCAGTCTGGCCCTCTCCCTGCTGCCTGAGAGGTACTTAAGCCGAGCAAAGAAGAAGAAGCACAGAGGAGAGGACACTAGAGGGAGACAATTTGTTCACATCTGCAGCCTTCTCCACAGCTTTCCTCGGGATTCTGAATTCCACTGTAATAGGCCCTCTGGAGAAAAGCACCCAATCCACAGTGATCAATATGAAATCATTCACCACATCCAAAGGATAATATTAAACACATTTAGGATGTGTCTGGATAGTTTCCCTAAGAAATTCCTGTTAGACAGAAAGTGCTTTGATTTGTCTTTTGATTTTTATTCGCAAAACATGCAGGCTAAATAACATGTGGTGAACCTCACATGTAAAAAAAAAAAATTGCCCCACAGACTTACAGTTTCAATTTCAATACATCCGTATTAGATGTCGTTCCTGGCGTTTGTGGCAAAAAAAAAAGCCTCTTTGAAATCTGAAAGAATTTTTTTACATAGATATCTTGGTGGAGAAAGGGGTTACACATGATGGAAGAACAATTTCTCCAAGGTCAAGTGAAGCTTCTGAGGGTGTAAAGTGATTACTGCAACAGGAAACAGGATGCCTCTTCTCAAAACAGCATCTCATAACACTGTCAGTGAGTCTGTTGCTTCTCTCACTTTCTTTTCCCCCCCTCAGCTCTTTCACACACTATCAAGTTTACTTCTTTCTCAATCCCCAAATCCTCCACTCTTTATGCAGAGGCTCGGTTAGTTACAAGCTTCTTCTTTCTTTTTTTTCCTCCCTTCGCATGCTGAATTTGCTCTCTATTGAGAAGCTGTTCATCTTTCAGAACTGAACAGTTACACCAATGCAAATGCAGGATTGAAGAAATCTTGAATTGCCCTTGAAGCTCCAGCAAATGACGATGAGCTCAAAGCATGCATGATGCAAATATATCTTAAAAGACTTTGTCCCTGCGTTAATCAAAGCATCTTCAACTGCTTCAACCTTCTTCTTTTTTTCCCGTTTTCCTTTCTATTTGTCATAACGTGAGCGCCCAAGTAATGGAACCACTGCTCGGCATCATTTTCAAGGAAATTTGTTCACACGTAGGCCACTTTGTTGCAGGATATAACCCCTCTCTTTCTTCCTCACCCACGACTAAACACTCAGCTGCTCCAAAAGCACTGCTGTCAAGTTGCTTAAAGAGCTACAAACATTTTAGGCGCTTTCATCAGGCGGTGCTGGCTGCTCCGATTAAAGGAGAACACTGCTCAATTTAAAACAATCTATATGTGCTTTTCCTTCACTGAGTGTTAAAAAAAGATCTGGACACAGAAACCCCCTGTGAGCGTTACCCCACGGAGATCCAAAGGATTTCGGCTCGTCTGCTTACAGGTTGCTTTGGCGCCAAATCTGGTCGGCAATGGATCGATGAGACGTTGCGAAACAGCACACCCGCCGTACCCTTTTCTGTCACATTTAACTCGCCTCTCTTCATGCCGTAACAACCGCGGATGGAAAGGCAATAATGCTGTTGTTCACAAAACAGAATAATTCACAACTGCACCGTGAAGCCCGGGCCTCCAGTGTTTTTGTTTGAGCATGAAACAGAAGTTGCTCTTCATGTGTTAAATCCACTGTGATTTTTGCACACCTTGTGATGGGGCTTTTAAGCCCGTTGTTCCTCCGAGCTCATATTCCACATCAATTTATAACCCAACCACCCACCCTCCGCTAACTTTTCCTCTGTTCAGCTGCTGGGTGGATGCGATTTTCTTGCACTCACGTTTCAGGCACGTCTTTCAGGAGACCGCTGCGCATATGACAACGGTAAAGCAATCATAAATGCATCAGCAAATGGCATGGGACAAAAACAATGGTGCAAATAAGGCATAATAAGTAATAGTCTTTCACACAAGGTGTCATATTTCCATTTTCTTTGACACTCGCATACTACAAGGAATTACTGGCATTTGCTTTCGTACCTTTGTTTTGGAGATACAGACAGCTGCAATGTGGAGAGTCCCCTAACTAATGACAGACTTATAGCTGTTCAACTGACAAAAGTGTTGTTATTTGGGTTTTATCTAAGTCATTGTTTCAAAAACATGCTGCCTGGCCAGATAAGAAATTCCCTCTGGTAGAACCCTGAACACTCAGCAAAGACAGGCCTATTCAAAAAAAAAGAAAAAAAAAAGTCACTGACTGTGAATAATAAAATAGGATAGCTAGTCATTTCCCAGAGAGTATGAGGCATCTTCTTGGCTCATATCAATGAAAACTGCGGTCATTTAATATTGTCAGCTTGACATCTCTGAACAGCAATCAGACAAATGTATAATATATAACTGAAACAGATTGGACATGTATTTTTTATTGTGTTCTATTGATAGCACGTTGCGCAATTAATGCATAGGCCCATATCTTAAAATATCTTAAAAATGTCATTTGCACTCATTTATTCTTAATTTCTTAGCCTGCTTTGTCATCACCTTCTTCAAGGTCATGAGGGGGCAGAGCAAGCTTATCTCCACATACACTGCACAGAGAGCAGGGCTAGCAGCTCATTAGAGGTTATCTACGTGGATGGATCTATAATTGCATCACTGTATGTAAGGATACAAGCCTTTATTGATCTCCATGGGAAAATTTCTTTGTTGGCTGTAGTAATGAATGTAGTAGTTGAAGGTGAGACCCCACCATCAGCTACAGAGGCTCTTCCTCAGAGAAGAGGAAGAGCCTCTGGAACATGTTTAAATAACTTTCTTTAAGCCCTCCTGGAAACACGTTTTAAATTCAGATTTTTTTTGCCTATTCTGAGCCTCGTTTGAGCATTTTTTTTAAAACATTATAACATGTGAGCACAACCTTGCTTGTTTGCTTGTACAGCAGGATTGCATGGATCATGTCTGAAGGGTCCATTTGCAAAGACGTCAATAATTTTAATGCATCAACTACAAATTAATATATTGACATCTTAGTAGTAATAATGTATAACAAATTATCTTGCAAAGACGAATCTGGCCACCGGTAACATTTATTATACTTATATTATTCAGTTATTGGCGCTCAAATATTCTTCACTTCGAAAAAAATGATGCCCCCGTGCACCTGCACAATACTTATTTTACACTTAGACCACACTCTTTGCTGCTCCCTGTCGAATTAAACCCTGCTTATTTCTCAGTAGACACTTAAAAGTCGCGACCATATGTTATGTTTTATTATTAAAATAGTGACTGTCCCACTTTTTTACGTCTTTCTAGCGCACTAGATTACACGGCGGAAGAATAACAAACGGTTGTAATTAATAAGAACAAAAAAATAATGTCTGCATGTCGCTTTTGCTTTTGCAAGCCTTACCTTTCAGTGGTAAAACAATTTGTAAACAGTATTAATTAAAAAATAACATTTCTCATGCTATGTGTCCACTGGCGTAGAAGAGCAATAAGCCACTTTCACCTCTAGTGGCTTATTGCTTAATTAAATGACAAATCGGAGGATTGGTTTGCAGATTGCCTGAATTGACGTCAATTGGATTGGTTAGGTGACAGAGCCAGGCTCCGCCCCCTGTGGGCCAAGGTAGAGCATGCTGAGAGAGGGAGGAGGGAGCAGGGGGCTGAGCTGATCCCACGTGTGACGCTTTCATTCCCGGCTCAGTAATATTCTCATAGCGGGGCTTTGCATATCTCCTGCCGTATCTGTGCGTGTCTGTCACTGTTACTGTAGTCCCAGCCTATAGTTTGGAATAGATATGGAAGGAGACGGGAGTCAAGCCACATCCGGAAGCCTAAATGATTCACAACATGACCCGGGGTAAGGATATATTTCTAAATTTAATCCTTAGGTACGATTTTTTTTCATGTTACAACATCTTGGAGAGGACTTCGACTGCCGTGCTGGATTCGTCCCCCCTCCCGCACCCCCCTCCCAACAGTACGCACTTAAACCGGGCACGGGTCTGTTTCCAGATGCAGTTTTAAAAGACCTCCGCTCCGTAGCAAAGAGTGGCCTGCCCCTTTTATGTAGCCAGAGTGTAATTACTAAGCGCGAATGTGTTTTCATAGTCTTCCTTTATCCTTTAAGGTCGCTTTTAGAAGTAGTTAGTCGTCAAAATGGCCGAACTGACATCTGGACTCACTTCTGTTGTGTTTTCCCCTTACAGTAAAATGTTTATCGGTGGCCTCAGCTGGCAAACCTCACCAGGTGAGACTGTTATTCTCTTTTACACCGTAACCAGCATTTCTTGTTGTTTTTTTTCTTTTTCCCCCCTCTGTCGCTGTGACTGAGTGCTCGCTGTAGCTGCTGGCGGCGGTGTATGTGCGAATGTGCACTGTGCAGTAGTGTACTGTATGGGATATCTCAGTAGTGTGTGCGCACGATGTTATTTTTGATCTCCGTCCATCTGAAGTCCTCTATTCGACCCCTATGCGCATCGCGGGGTATTTTTGAAATACAGTGACAACAGCATGTCCATATGTTACTGTCAAAATGACCCGACATATTTTTTTTCTTCTTCTCTCTATTCACAGACAGCCTTAGAGACTATTTTAGTAAATTCGGAGAAATAAGAGAATGTATGGTGATGAGAGACCCCACGACAAAACGTTCAAGGTAAATACAGGGCTTTTCTTACTTTTCCCTTTCCAGTGCACATAGCGATATCGCTTTACTTTGACCGTGCTCAGTGTTTAATCCAGCGTGTATGTGTGTTTTGTGTGCCCGCGCGCCCATGTGTTCGTGTTCTCGCGCGCGTATGTCTGTGTGTGTACGTGTGTGTGTGTCCCCGTGCGCGCGCGCCTGCGTGTGGTTTCACAGCAAGCCAGATAAGCTTAAATGCTCACTGCTGTAAAGCTGCGGCCGAATGCAATTTGACATTGACTTTGTGACTGCACCACAGTTTTTTTTTTTTGCTGTGTGTGTCTAGTCGTCTCATATTGTAACGTAGCAAATAATGATGAGCACTGTCCTCAGTTTTGTTTTTGTTTTTTGTGTTTTTGCTTTTCCCAAAATCTGCCTCAGGACTGGCCGTAATCTGGATTAGAAATGTATATTTGCAGAGAAATGTTGTTGTGGCTCATAGGGATTGTTGTTCACACTGTTAATGCAGGTTTATTATTTGCAAGTTGCATGTTAAATTTATATTTGCAAGGGGTGGGGGTGTCATTTTTTAATATGTATGCAATGTTAAATTATTATTAACACGGCTGTTCTTGTCCTCTCTGTGTCTTTGTTTTGCAGAGGATTTGGGTTTGTTACATTTACAGATGCTGCCAGTGTAGATAAAGTCTTAGCTCAACAACACCACGAATTAGACTCAAAGACGGTGAGTTGATTTCATTTGTTCTTACACCAGAGTTCATTTCACGTTTTGTGTTTACGCTGCTCCGCCAACTGAGACTTTTTACTGCCTAAGTAGGGCCTTGTGGGTGGTGCGGTAGGCGAGGGGGGGGACACTTCTTAGGTTGACAGGCTGTGTCGATCAAGGTCACGCACAGTGGCTAAATGTGTGCTGGTCTCTTCCACAGAGAGCCTGGCAATAAAATAAAACACAACTCTGGGGTGAATATTACATGTGTTCACTTTTACTTCTCTGGCTGAATGGGGCCAGACACGCCCCCTTCTTTGCTGCAGCCACATGTGGCAGTGTGCCTATATCTCATGTGGACACACAAGGGCGTGCTGTCTCAGGACTGCTGCCTTGCTGCTGTTTGATCCAGCAGATATTGTATCATATCGTGCCCGATTAGCAGATACTTTGAGTCTGAAAGGTTTGAGCCCTATATTAGAGATTAAACAAATTAAATATAAATTAATAAATTTTTAAGCTGCCAGTATATTCAAACTAATTACTGTAATGTATGATAATCAGAATACATAAATGCATTAGTGAGGTAACAATCAGTCAGGAGTATCGTGTCAAATACTTTAAGAGTGCATGTGTAGTTTTTAAAGAGTTGTCTGATTTACTTAAGTAAGGTCATTAATCCAGTGCACATATACATACACTCATGCACTTAGGTTTAATGACTGCCAAGCATTCTGAAATTTGTTGAAATTCGTCACCAGAGGAATAATTAAAGATTATACGATGCGCTGGATTAGATATGGTTCAGCTGCAATTATATTTTATCGAATCCAGATATGCCAGCAATAGTTACAGTAATGGAATGGTGCATATCGAGGAAATGTACTGTGCGCGCTCCCTCGGCTGAAGCCAACTTTACACTGGGAGGAAATATTTTTTTAAGGATTTTGGAAGATAAATAGATTATACTTCAGGTAGCAGTGTATAATAATGTGCAATCTACAAGTCTGCGTAGGATAAGGCAAGTAATGTAAATGTAAGAATTCACTGCTCATTCCTGAGCTTGAGTGTGATTGGCACAGAGCTGAGAAACCTGCTGTTTGTTGGGTGGCAGACCTTACTTTATATTCCTTCCAATTTTTTCTAAGCTGCGAGGTTTGTAATAATGTGGCTGCTCATATTATTGCTATTATTATTTTGAATATTCTTTTTATAATCATTATTATTGTCATTATTTTTGGGGAGCTTTTTTGGACAGTTTTCAGCTCATCGGTGGAGGTTTGATTCTTCAGAAGGGTTTATGGGGGGGGGGGTTCGTTTTTCTGCTAGTCTAAAAATAAGCAATTTGCCTTCATTAAAAAAGGCACATAACACACACTTGTACTTAAAATTTTTTAGTGCGTGTGATTTTTTTTTTTTTTCTTCAGCCTATTAGATATTTTGTGTTATGCTTTTTTTTTTTTAAGTTTCCGGTAATCTCTCATTCACCTCGTGCTTAGTGTTTATATGTTATGTCTTCACTGCTATCAGCTCTGTTACTGTGTTATGCAAATGAGGGAGACAAGGACACTCGGTGGGGTTATGTTGTGACGTAGCAACTATAGAGCAAGGGCAAGGTTTTTTAGCATTAAAATGACCGTTAAGTCAGGCCGATGACATTGCAAAACTTGCAGAACCTCTTCAGAGGGGAATACTTAGAAGCACTTTACGGGGGCTGCTTGAAGGGTTGGAGATATAAACATACTTTGATGCAGAATCTAGAGCAGTTTGATAACTTCAAGTCTGACATTTTGAATGAGCAGCTTTGTGACAGCTTGACAGCATATATATTTACAGCAAAGGTCATGGGGGGTATGAATAAGGGAGGAGAGCACGTAAATATATATGCTTACACCTGAGAGTTGGCCTGTGCTGCAGCAGTCTATTACTGATGTCTGATAAATAGAGCAGTTGTTGCTTTAATTGCCTTGCCCAAAGGCACTTTGAGAGCAGTGCCAGCAGGAAACAGTTTAATTTCTTGTGTATTTTTAATACCGCTAACATATGTTACAATATTCATGGGATTACATTAATGACCTGTTAAAATTGCAGTCTCAAACCACTTGTGTTACAGCTGATTTCTTGATTGCAAAAAAGCTCCTTTTTTTGCCCACAAGAAAAATCGGTTGGTTCTTTTTTTTTTCTTTTCTTTTTTTTTTTTTTAGATTGTAATATTTAGACTATTTGTAGGCAGAATTTAATCCCATTATTAAAACAATGTGGGACCTCTTATGTATAATAATTGAGTTAAATAGTATTTTCTCTTGCTCTGCTAAAGTATAATAACTGTCGTGCAGCAACACTAAATCTTGTTATCTGTTGCATGTCTGTATAGCAAGTTATGGATACACTTTGTTCTTTGGCTACAGATATGCACACAAACAGTGGTATTATGTCACACGTATTGTAGGCTTTAGATCACATTTGGCACACTTATAATTGAGATTTGAAATGCACGAGAACTGAATGGTGACATTTTAAAGTCTGACATTGAATCATCATTAAGCCTGAATAGTGGCCTGTGTGAAATCATTATGCTTTGGAAGTGAATTATTTTAGTAATTTTGGTGATGTTTTTTTCCCCCCTTGATTGTTAGATAGTATACAGTAGACAGCTGACAGGAAATGAGGCGATAGACCTGGCCAGACTCGATCAGGCAGTTTTGTGATTGCATGGTCGATGTCTTAACTCTTAATCCGCCGGGCTGTAAGAGCATAAGATAATCGTTTAGGGACCCCGACTATATTAAAAAAAAAAAAAAGCCAGTTTTGTTTTGCATACTCGCCTCTTGTTGCTGGTGGCGTTGTAGTTTTTCATCGCACCCATAAATCTGAAAATATGGATGATACTGAAAATCCTGTAATAATGGAGGTAATCAATAGCTTTAGTAAAATAAAGTGTAGCAGATTGTTGTTTTGTTTGTGTTTTCTTGCTGGACATTTTTATCACTGGCTGAGTGTTTGACGGCATAGTTGACAAACCAACGATTCTGCTGACTCAAATGCATGCAGACATTTATATTTCCCAGCTGCTAACGTGCTGTTGTTTACCCGTCAGTGTGCAGTAGAAGATTACAAACCTAAGGCGGCTGTCTGTATCGTCTTTCTCACCATTAGTCACTGCGCTGTATCTGCGGTGCTGTTGTATATCTTAACATTCACACTATCAAGATCGCATTGCATTAGGATCTATCATATCTCTGAGAAAGTTGCTCAGTGGCAATGGGGGAAAAATGAACCGGTCCAGCAAATATGGATGGTCTTGATGTGTTTGCAGATGTTGGGTTGATACAGGTCTCCCTCGTTTGCAGTGCCTGAACGAATCCTTAGTGGTTTGTCTGTCCTCGGTAACCTTGGAAAAAAGTCAGAATGGCTGAAGGTGCAATGACAGGAAGTTAGGTCGTATTAGCTGTGTAGTGAAAGTGTAAAGCCAAAATCATATGGATGTTTTTAGCTCTGTTATTTTAAATCTAATATTTTTTCAGTATTACATCAGTGTCACAAACACAAACGCAGATGGTATTTTATTTAGTCTGATGTACTTTTAGATCAACTGCAAACCCCACTTTGATTTAAACATAAAATTTCCCTAGTGTTGAGATCAGGAGTGCTATAGAATCAGTTTTACTCCCAACTTAAAGAAGACAGGCACACCAACGCTGGTTTCATATGCTTCTTTATTTGGTATTAATGTTTTCTTTTGACTGTGTGCTCTACTTTTTGTCCGGTTATGAAAACACTCTAGCCTAGAATGAATGTGAATGAGACATATGGGGAAGCAAAGCCTGGGGGCTTCAAAACACACATGCTGGTAATTCAGAACATATTTACCATTTTTCATGATGCTTTGTTCAGTTTATAAATGTACAACTCAGAGCATCTGTTGCTGAAGATGTTTCAAGTCAGGCCTGTATGAAGAAGGACATCATCAATTTTTATCTCAGACATAACAGTAGATTTATTTGAGCGATATAAATCTTTTATTCTTATGTGAAGTTGTTACAAAGGCATATATGGGTTTATTTTTTTTAATGTAAGATTTGATGGTGTGATACCATATTTGGGGTTTCTGAGCTTAATTCACTTCAACCAGTAAAACCCAATGATATGTAGTCACCCCCCACCCCCGGAATCTATTTTTAATTTTTTTTGTCTTGGGTAAATCCAGCCTTTATAAAGTCACCCTTAGGTCAACCTATGCTTGAGGTTTAGGAGAAGCCAAAAAAAAAAAAACAGCCCAAGAGCAAACGAGGAGAAAGGACAGGGAAGAGCAGCTGTTCCAGACAAATCTGAGCTTCGTTCATCAGATAGGGTTAGGAAGTAAAGTCAAATCAGTGAGCTAAACTGACTCGCTCTTGTTTAAGTATAGCAGGTGCTCCATCTTCCGCGGTTAATTATGGCTGAAGGCGTTATTAGTTCTTTCTGTATCTGTTTCTGTCTCCTGTCCGCTCCTACGGGTCATCAGAGGTTTGTCAAAGCGGTAGTGTTATTTTTATGCTACTACCAGCAAACGTGGCTAATGTTCGTAACGCTGTTGCATATTTCTAAGAGGTAAAAAAAAAAAAAAAAAAAAAAAATATATAGCCAATTTGCTTGTTGAGCATGACGGTAAAATTCTCATTACTGATTTGAGGATCATAACAAACTGCCTTTTCGTGGTGTTATTCCACGGCGAAAGTCAGCAGAGATTGACAGCACAGATATGAAACATTTATGTTGTAATTTCTTGTCTATTCTATTGCTATCACACACGCACACCTGTGGACCTGCTCACACACTTATTGAGAGAAGCTGCAAGCTTTGATAAGGCTTTTCCTTTTAGCTTAAACACCACATCATCATGCTAGCGTAGATATGTCTTAAGAGAGAGGAAGAGAGTTTACCCAGGAGCTGCATTAATATATGAAATCCTTTTGTAAGATGTGAACTTAAGATATGTGCTGTTTCTCTGCCCTGATCTCCCACAGTCGCATGCAGAAGCAGCCCTCGGAGACCCTTAAGTAAACGGCTGCGGAAGATAAAAAGATGATGGGGCAGGGTTGGTGGGGGGGATTCCTTCTGGTCTGTTCTCATTTATTACATTGACGTATCTGCTTGTATGATGTCTTGAGGAAATCCACTTTTGCTCTTCGTGAGATCATGTTGCATCATATTACAAAGGTGTATCTAAACGTAATTTGAAGAAAGGGTCCTGTGAGGGTGATGCCAGGTCTCTAAGGTGAGCACATACTCAAAAGATGTTTCACTGGAGATTACTGCTACGTGAGGTACGTCACCAGTAGTGCATCTTTAGCACGACACTGTAGCCTCTTGGTTCTCGTGAACTCGAGTGTGCACACTGGTTAGATGGTTACGATTCATCTGAGACACCCACATTGCTAAAGGCACATATACTCTGATTGCAGGGTCCATGGAAAATGACATCACATTAGTGCTTGCCAGTCAATTGTACATAACAGGTACTGCTGCTGTAATTGAATCAGTGCAAAAAAAAAGTACCTCATACTGTGCATCCTACATACAGCTAAAGATAACAGTTGTTGGCAATAATAAAAGCCCGGAACAAAAAAATACATTGTCTTTGTCTCAGAAAGAATTGAATGATATTTGACACGTATGTACATTTGTTCTGGTTCGATATAAAAAAAAAGAAATTTGGATTTTGCTAAATAGGTGAGCACATTATTGTTGTTTTTCACGGTTGCATTTTGATTACAGTTTACATTTGAACACATTACACCTTCAGTTACAGTCATGTTTTCAATTACAATACAATATTGTAGTCATATCTCCCGGACCATTCGACTGTGTTTAAAGCAGATTGTTCGTTCAGCTCCAAGTCAGATTGCTTGTGATTTTTCCATAGTAAAGAAATTTCTCAGAGGGGGGTTAATGAAGTGTTGTTTTTTTTGTTGTTGTTGTTGTTGTTGTTCTGTTGCTACTGTATGATAGCCAAACAGCTAGAGCTGAGTCAGAGCTCTGGCCCTCTACCCAACAGCGACACTCTTTGCATACCCTCGACGTATTTTATCTACCATCTCATGATTTGTTCCCAGAATTCCTTTCAAGAATCAAAAGAATGTACGAATATTTTTGTTGCATCCAGCTGTCGTAAAATTAAGATGAAAGCAATGACACAGTAAGAGAGATTTGTCTACAAATCATAAAGGAAAGTCATTTCTCAAACAAGAACATAGGCAAAAACAAACTAATAAATAGCTATTATTCATTTATCTTTTTACTGCTTAAAAAAACATGCAAGTTTAGAACAGACTAGAGTCAAATTACTGAAACAGGTGCACTTCTTACATTAAGTTCACTCAACCCAAGCCTGATGGTATGCGTGTTACACAAGAAAAAAATATGTTTCAGGAAGGAAGTATCAGGTGAAACTGAGACACTATAATCTCTGATACAGCTGCATTCAGTGCAAAGGGTAACTCCTGCCCAATAGGTATGAAGACGCTTCCTACATGAAAACCTAAAGCTTTAATATGTAAAGCAAAGGGAAACAATTGCCTTGTCTCCTCTTCTTGTAGTTCTAAATTCCTCAGAGGAGTTATTCGTCATAATTTGTGACCTAAAAAGGTACTGCTACATTTCACAGAAGGATTTGTTAATAAGGCCTCATTGCCCAATTTGGTTGCGTTGCTCTGAGTGAGATTTAAGCAATATGCAGTAACGTTTTTCTCTGCATGTAATCATTTAAATATATATATAATTTTAAACAGACTACATGAGATTTTTCCATGCTGTGTTAAAGTGTTCTCATGCGCACGTTCAAGACCAAATGCTTCATAGTGAATAGAAATTCTCAGCAGGACAGAAAAACAATTAGTTTATGTGGTGTGGTAAAATGAGGTTTGATATATTTTGCATAAGCTTAAAAAGTAAGATACATTACCAAGTGTAGGACTTTGGTATTCAGAGCATAATGTGTTGTCTTTGCTAAAATAGGGTGCACAAAATAATTGAGTTTGAATTGGTTATGCCTGGGGCTAAGTGCTAAGACAAATCTTTAAATGAAATTCATTACAAGCAGAGTTACCGTGCCCAGGTGTTATTGAATTCATTTCTCATTTTGACCCGATTTAGAAAGATAACAGTAATAAGTGAGACTGACAGAGAAGATGACAGTGACATTGCACATCATGGTTTTCCTTCAAACAGATTAAAATGTAGTCAGTTTCAATGGCTTAATTGATCCGTGCAGATGGTGAATTTTCATCTCGTGTTTTCTTTCCATTGTTTTCCTCAGCGTGATGAGATATCGTTTTCTTAAATAAATCCATCTGTGCCGAGAGAGTAGGAATGCATAGAATTGATATAGTAATTGTAAATATGTCAGTGTGACACGTAGCACAATATGGAACAACATGAAGAGTTTCATGATTTTCTTTTTCTTTCTTTCTTTTTCCCCCCCTCAAATTCAAATTTGCATCCAGGCGATGAGAGTTTAGGATGACATTGCTGTTTCAGACAGTTCCTCTTCACTGTAAGTGCAAGGTTGATGAGACCCCCCCACCACATACCTTTATACCAGAGAAATTAATGAGGAAGATGTAGCTAATGAGATAACAAGCACAAGATGGAGAAACAGGCTGATCTGACGCATCCTCCCAGTTATTTGGCAATATCTGGAGGCGTCACCGGCCCCAGACTCTCATTTTCTTCCTGTCATATTCAATCAGCAATTCCTGCCTAAAATAAAAGCGGGCCTCTGCTGCGACCACGACCAGCGGAACATTGGTGTGGCTGGTCTCCACGCCAACTTTATTTTAACACTGGGGGTTCTTTCTTTGTTTTTGCTATACAGCATCGACAGCTAATTTGGGAGCACCAGTATTTAGGCCTAAAAAACAAAAATGGTAATTTACAGCAATTAATATGTGGTTTCCTATGGTACATTGCTCAGTGCACTGAGTGTTGTGCCTAGAATGTGTCATTGAGCTCCATCAATTGTAGATAATTTGCCACAGTGAGTAATGAGGCCGGTGATATTGGCCAGCTCTCTTTAAATGCTTTGGTCTGCCTAGTGACAATCATGACGGGAAACAAAGCCAGTTGCTGGACTAAACTGTGCACCTGTATCATTTATAAGGAACCAGGCTAGCTGATAGGCCAACAGTAAATTTAAACGATAAGCTGTTTTGCAGTAGGGATTAATATACTGAGTAATCAGGTTCTTTTACTGCAGTTTACAAATGAACTGGTCACTGAGATTATACATCTACGATTTAACCTTATTTAAAAAATATATCAATGTGCTCTTTGCCAGTAGTTTAGCTGAACAACATCGATTCTATGGCTATGATTCTTTCATAGCAGGCACTTCCCTATACATTGTTTTCAACTTCCGGTAGTAGCTCCTTAACGTAGACGGAGATTAAAGCTGCCGCGAAGCTGCTGTGATATAAACATGACAAAGACGAAGACCTCAGGATCTCTGGAGGACAAAGAAGGGACGGCGTCCTTCATTTTCAGTGTGTGGCAGTTTTTCATAGCAGGGGGAAACTGTGGCACACTGTTCTCTTACCAATCTCTGTAGTCTGTCAGCTACCCAGAGCCATGACCTAGTCTGCCCTTTAGTGAAACGTCACCCTATCCTTAACCCGACTGTGTCAAAGATTAGGCACAGTAATGTAGCGGTACCACCGTTTTACAGAAATGGCTTCGTTCTGTGTTATTTTTACTGTTTTGCTGTTCTATTCATATTGACTTTAATTTGTAATTGTGATAACTTTGTCAGCTCTTAAAGGCGACTCTAGGTTTGAAGAGTACATGTTAATTATGAAGCTTCTGTAAATCTTAAAAATGATGAATTATTATCATTGTTCACAAGTTCTCAGCCATTGATGAGATATTCAAGCAATTTGAAAAAGAAAGGTTTGTTCTTCCTCTTGATTTACGCATTCATAGATCAAAATATTCTCTGGGGGTTCCTGTTTAAAAATAAATAAATAAATAATCCAACATCATAGCCATATAATAAATACCCATTATAGTACAACCGCCACTGAAGTACCAGTAATTACATTCTCAATGAGTCTAAAGGAGTCAAAATGCGGCAGTGTGGCGGTTTCACCCCGGGGTCCTTTGTGGACACCTGTTCGGTGCTTTTCACCTCGAAGATATACCAGCCTATCCTTTAACAACAATTTTGCTATTCTTTTCTCATTTCAGATTGATCCTAAGGTTGCCTTTCCCCGTCGCGCCCAGCCTAAGGTAAGAATAAATTGGTCACTATCCCCGCTCAAAGAAAATGATTATGTCTCATGTCACTAGCTTACCTAATTTTGTGTGCTCACACAGCAGATACGAAGAGATAAAAAAAAATAGTCTGCACCCATTGTTCTCACCTTGTCTGCGCTGTTTCACCAAAGCAATTAAAGTTGAAAACATGAGACTTAAAGGAAATTTTCAGCATGATTAAGGTTATGTTATTTTCTGTGTTACCCCACTGTTTTCTATCCATATAATATTTTTCCATTGTTTTTATCCTGATTTGCTTATTTCATCCCTCATCACAGCTGTTTGCAGTGGCAAATGTTTTGAAATGAACTCTGTCTTATTATGACAATCCTGTAGCAGAGGTTTCCGATTTTAGTCTGCAGCGGTATTAAATCAAGCTTTATTGTCTGTTTAAAGCATCAGAGTCTAAGTGGTGAAACCATCTTGCTTTGGCAACTTGCCTCTTGACTTGACAGGGTCATGACTGACAGGAGACGGGCTCTAATATATCTGCAGAGAATGCAGGCTGTTGGTTGAAACGTTTACATTTGGGTGAAAGGAGGAAATCTGATTATTTGAAAGTGGAATCAAGACCTTCCTTTCATGTGGTTTTGAAGGTGCACATTATGCAGAACGGTGAATTATATTTTGGAGTGAACAGGCCTGTATTACCCTGACTGAATTTGCGAGAGATGATTGGTGACTTTTCAGTGACAGTGATGAATTGCATTTACTGGTTGAATTCGAAGTCTGTTGAGTTGGTCTGGAGTTGAATGGGATTGAATATCACAAGTGATTAAGAAATATCTTTGTTGTGTTGCATGCGTGTAGAATTTCTCACAATTAGCACTGAAACAATGGGTGATTTTAAAAAATAAGCCCAACTCCAATCACGCAGGAACTGTGGTACAGGCTCTTCATGATGCGCATTATCTTTTGTCTTCTTGATTACTGTTCTTGAGCAGTTCTATTGACAATTAAAAATTCAGCATGTGCAGATGGTGTTGTGGCATACAGTCAAAGGCTTTGTTGACATGCCCTCTCACACCATCCCCCAGCTTTTACTGTGGAGGCTATAGCACAGCACACTGTAGCGCTATTCAGCATCGCTATCAGGGCTTTTTCCACCTAAACCAGGTGGAAATCGATAATAGATTTTCTCCTTTCCACCGGATCAGAGAGAGGCATTGTTAAAGACTTGGTTAGGTTTCAAATAAGGAATTGGCAGTGCAGACTCTCAAAGCCACAGCACATGGTGACTTAAGGATATCGGCATATGGCTGAAAAACTACCAGTGTTTCTCTGTTTTCTTGTGTGGCAAGTATATCACTTTAACTTCGTCTGCTGTAAGCCCTGCTCATAAATGTCCAAGGTGCAGTAAAACAGCTCAGATGTTTGATGATGCTTCCAGTTTTTAAGTGAACCAGAAACTCCACTGCTGTCGTGGTTATTGCTGATCTTTTTTTAAAAGAGCATTATACCACTTTTTTTTGCCATGACTCACACAGAAATACAATATTTTGAGCAGTTCTACGGGTCTTAAACATATTTGTCATTCTACCTTGCGTGATTCATAACTCAGTGAAGTAATGACACCATAACAGAATTTGTGGCACTACACAAACCTTGTACCAATGATTTATAAAATGGCTATAGGGCAAGCTTGTTAGAGGAGAGAAATGGCTGTATTGAATGTGGATTATAAAGGATCTTAAAGCAATGGGATTAAGCCAGATAGATTAACATTGCATGGGTTTGTACTTTAAAAGACCTTTAAAAGAAGTCTAATTTAGAACTTCCCATTTAGAAAGTTCTCTCTGTGGCGGATACTTTCTTTTGTCCCTTTTCCCCAACTCCGCTGTGTGCCTGCCTGGGAATAGGGATTTGTTTAAGGAGGCTCGTCTTGGCAGTTGCCTCGGCGGCACGAGCTTCGGGGAGCAAATCGTGACGAGACCAATCAGCGTTAATTTTCTCACGGCTAGCAATGACCTCACAGGTGAACCCTGCCAATGACCTCGTGCTGCCGAACGCTGCGGCATAGTAACTCTATACAGTATGTACATCACGTAGAGTAATGCTGAAAACAGGCAGGAGGTGAAGGTGAACACGGAGGACATTTCACTGTAAACAACTGAAGGTGTTAGCACTGGGATGACAGGATCACAGGAAAAACATCTTGTATCAGCAGGCATAACTGACACTGCCCCCAAACACGGACAGTTCCAAGTGTCAAGAGACAGTGAGAAAAGCGACAGACGATTATTGGGGTACCTGAAAGTGGACACGCCCTTATTTTGATTCATATCTGACGTAGCATGTACGACAAATCAGTTTGCCTTCATTTGTCCCGTTTAAGAACAAACGTGAAACCTTTGTGTTTCTAATGTCAGCATTGTATGAAATGTAAGTTGCTGTCATAATAAGACAGTTGACTTTTTTGTTTTTGTTTGTACGAGTCAGTTTTTTGCAGATATGACGAGTAAGTCACAGAGCACTGTTTCCCTCTGATTTCCACCCAGCGTTTGAGAATCATGTATATGTATGATTTGAGTAATCTTAGGGGGTTTTTGTGACTATCTGCACCAGAATATTGGTAAAGGGCACAGAGGGGAGATAACCACAGGTCCTGTCAATCAAAGAAAACAGGCTAAAGAAATGCAAACTGGCACCCACATTACAAATGAATAATGTCACCCAACTAAAGCTTATCTCATGACTTAAAAAGAACATTTTGTATTATAAATAGAAGCTGTGCTTACAAGTCATGTCAAAAGTATCAATATAGACCGGTCCACAAATATTCAGGGATTAGGTTGCATCTGAGGATGATTGACAGATGAGAATGAAAGGATTAAACAATGATGATGTGATGCAAAGTGCTTTATGCACATTCATTTATGCCTCGTCTCCTCTTAGCCTGGCTGGGGATAGCCGTGGCTTTGTTAGATAGGCTGCTAAAAGTAGCCTTAGAATGCCACGATTTCTCTGCAAATTCTCAACGTGTAGTTTCCCTTTTTATGTATACTTTATTGATCCCCTTGGGGAAATTCCTCTCTGCATTTAACCCATTCAATCAGTGAAGCAGTGGGCAGCCATTGGGCGCCCGGGGAGCAGTGTGTAGGGACAGTACCTTGCTCAGGGGTACCGCAGGGTAGCCGTTTGGTGGGTTTGAACCACCGACCTTCCGATCATGGGGCCAACACTACCTACTGAGCTATCCCTGCCCCCTTTTGACAGAAATGATTTTATTATCACCTTTACGTACTTTAGATGCATTGCAATGAGGTTACTTTTGAACAAGGGATGCGAATACCAAATATATTCATCACCACTTACTATAGTTTTCTGTAAAACTGTAAAAATATTTGCCTACATTTCCATCTTGAAATTAGTTAGCAGATGTGATAAGTGTAAGAAACGGAGGTTTTCTTTTTTTGTGGAGAAACATCCTGCTCTAATTAATAACAACAATAATGGGAAGGTAAAATGGGACTGATTAATAACCTTTTGGGTTTAATCAGACAGATAGTATTACATAATTGTCTCGTTATCAGTGTAGATGCTTGATTTTTAAAGTCTATTGCAAACCCCTAAAGTTTTAAATCTGCCGTTCAGATTTGCTATTTTTCCCCAACTAAATTTCATGCTTGTTTAGAAATTGAAAATTCTCTGAAAAATAAAGAGAAACTATCAACAACCCACCCACCTTTTCAGTACTGCCACTGCATATAGAAGGCAGTAAAGAAGACAGAGATGAGTTGATGCTGTTCCATGCGATCTTCTCGTTTGATATTTTGCAGTAACGCTCAAACTGAAACGTGTAAACGAGGCCCGCTCCGGGTTTCCTGGAGAAATCAAAGAGACGGCTTCTGCCGACATTGCTCGAGATTTACCACTCAACTGTTGGCGTCATTACCGCTGCTGCCGGTGCTTTTGTTTCCCACAGTGGAGTCACACACAACCATGGCATGTCCCAGCATGATTTTAATTGCCAGTGGGACTGTGGCCACTTCAGTGGGAGATGAGTTCTGATGGCTTGTTATGGAAATGAAAGGAAAGAGCAACATCCATTTACAGAGCAATGGGCGTAACCCTTCCCTTGTACCTCATAAAGGGATTTGCCATGTAAGCCATTGAGAACAGGTAGTCGGTGCGTCTCTGGGAGTCTATAGGATGTTGAATCTTTGTGCATGAAAAAAGAAATGTGTACTGCAAAAAAAGCAACTGTGACAATACTTTGAGAGATGCTTGTTTTGCTTGCCGCTGCAGTTTTCTTTACTGAAACTCAAGATTTGCAAACCGCTTGCTTTATCAGCGCGCAAGATAGGTAACTGTGGTAGTAAACTGGTTGAGATCATTTAGGGGCATCACACAGATCCACCATTAAACCACTGTCCTGAATTTTACTTTAGATTGTGGCAGCTGTGACTGTGGCTTCCCTGTTGACGGCCCTCTGTTAGTGCTGGCCTGTCTCTGACAGCTGGAGTTTCCCCCCTTTCTCTTTGCCTCCTTCTTTGTCTCCCTGTCTGTCTTTTCACGTCACGTTCCCTTTTTTCCTTAGCCTCTTTTCTTTCCTCTTTCTTTCTTTTTTTTCTTCTGTGAATGGTAAATTGACCAGTGCACCAACCTCCTCCACTTGTCTGCGTTCCACACATCTCTCTTAGGGACTGTTTGCGCTCTGTGTGGCTGCTTGCAGAAGAAAAAACCTCCCAGGTGTGTTGAGGTTCTAGAAATTTCAAGACTCAAGTTTTAATGAAGTCAACTAACAAAGCTGCATTCCCTTCCCCAGGCCATTTGTGCTGAGACCACATGTACACACACTGTATTGGAAACAGGTAGTTTGATATCCACATTTGAAAACAAAACTGTCTCCTTTGCTTGTTTTCTTTTAATATTTATCTCTCAATCTATCATTCTTCCTCACTGCTACATCCTCCCCTTTCTGTGCCCGTTTCTGTCTTAGTCTTTCAGGATTACAAGGCCTTGTAAATCTA